ATTTTGACAATTATCATCATGATTATTTGATAACACATTAAGCGAAATCAAATAATCATGTCTTGGAACTAGAGACCAAAAATGAGGACTGATTGGAAATTCTATTGAAAGATGTTGAATATTGAAAAATTGTATATGAGACAATAATGGCACGTTGAATAGATCATGTTGTCTGTATATCAAAGTCACATTGAACATACCATTGATGTTCCACAAGCCAAAATCGACTTCGAAATGTGTCAAGAATTTCGTCAATTTGTTTCTCTCCTTCCAACTGAATATATAGTGACATTTTAAATTGCAATCGTGTAAGCTTCTGTAAAGAATTACAAATGATCTCCTCCTATTTTGCTCCATTCAGAAAAAAGTACGCAGAGCTGAGTTCCACTTTCAGACGGCACAAATTGGGCATCATTGGTAACAAATCCAAAAAGTGATCGTGAAATAGGAACTTTGATGGTAATATAATCAAGGTGTTTATTGACAATACTGCTGTCGAAGAATATATGTGTGGAATCATACACTGATCGACCGAAAGACGTCGAAGATGTGGCGTGTAAGCGAAAAGATTATACATATTTATGTCACACTTTTCAAAGCCAACAAATGACAAACATTGAAGTGTTGATGAAGTAATCGTCGGACAAATGAAAATGCCGTTATTTCGACGGCATTCATCGACATAATGATGCACGTGTCAATATTTATATTCAACTTTAAAGCAACAGTAAAGGAGTTTAGGCGAACTCTAAATATAATTTCCAAAAGAAATGGCTTTGTGATTATTTCGTGATGAAAAATAACATTGTGCGAAAGTTAGATGAGTAAGATTTGATAAATGAGGCAAATCAAACGTAATTTTGTCCATCATTGTCTCAGAGAGAATATTATACAAGTAAAATGATCGTAAATGATTGCATTGACGAAATGTGAAACCGTATGAGAAAAATTGTTCGACTTGTCCAGGTGTATCGTCGTCGTTTGAGAGACGAAGTGAAATTATTTGATGGATTATTTGTGTAAGATATTGTTGAGGAATAGTATCGAAACCGGACTTAGATATTGATCGAAAGTCAATATGACACAAGTTCGAAAATATACGTGAATGAGAGCATTAAAGCGAACATTAAGATCATGAAATGCGTGATAAATATGAATTGCAGTGAGGAATTGAAATATTTCAAGAAGTAACTCATTAGGCAACGATTCAAAATGCATTATTGTTTAATGTCTTTTCAATGTAATTTATAATCGTCGAAAATAGAACTCCAATGATAAAATGATTATGTTATGAAGGTGAGGTAAGGTAAGAATAACACAACCGTCTTATTTTTCTTCATTGCCGTGCTGTTAACAATGGAGAGAAGAACGGCAACTATGATCGTTATTTTTTCTTTAGACTATCATTTTGCCTTTATTTTTCTTTTTTTTTTTTTGGGAATTCGATACTTATTACTCATGTTCTGTATTGACATAAGAAATACACAAGTTTTGAAATATCTAATTCACTTTTAACAATACGATCCTAATTCTAAGATTTGTGCAAAAATAATAAAATTCGATTTTGACGATCATTAGGTGAAGATTTTTACTAATCCATAGGTGACACATGTCGAAGCTCGGAAATGATATACATATATAAATGTTATGGCGAGACAGTTCCTCAATATGACAATCAAATTGGATTGATTATGAAACACCACCGAACTATAGTATCTTTGCATGTGAAGACAAGGTGTGAGAGTCACACAACTTCGTCTTAAAACTTTCGCTCATTATATTTTATTTCGAAATATACAATGTGAGTTTCACAAAAGTATAAAATCTTCTGTTATAAGAAGAAATTCAATTCTTTAGACAAACATTCATCAAATAATAGTAACATGGCGATTGAAGTATATTATTTTCTTCCAATGTATCAAAGAATAAAAATTTGCTAAGATCAGTAATTATTTAGATCATGATTATCAGATGAAACAATTGAATATTGGAAAGTTGCTTTCATGCATAAATACTTAGTTTAGTTTTTCTATCAACATAATATCCTTTACTCTATTTCAGTTCATTTATAATCTCTTTACAGCAAGTTTTGACACGAAAATCATTTTTGCAAGAAAAATAAACAATTTCTAGAGCATAACGTATGATTATAGTGAATTCAAGAGAAAATCAGTAACTCTTTTATAGATGGAAAAGTTATAAAATTTTTGTATAAATCTCCAATGTGAAAAACTTGACTCTTTATTAGAAAAAAATTGAAATCTCGATAATGGTTCCAGAATTGGAACAAAATCGTAAACATGTCATCAAATCGAAAAACAGTTCAAAAATTGGAATTTTTCTTGTGAATAGAAATCTAAGAAACAATGTAGATTATGTTCTCATTCGTAAAAAAAACAAAATATAAACTTTGTGACTCTATAACAAAAACTTAAAATTTTGAATAAAACTCCAACTTTTCTTTTGTCATCAAGTAATTGAAAACATTTTGATTTCTTTCAATGTCTATCATTCTAAATGATCAGATTAGTTTATTTTTTTTATATCACATCAGACATAACAATTTACAATGTTTTTCAAAAGTCTCTATTGAAAGAGACAAAAAAAAAACAAAGTGATTTTTATAGATGTCACTTTATTTCTTTCTCAAAAAATTACCTATCAAAAGTTCACGAAAAAAAAAAAGAAATATGAAGAATTCATTAAAATAAAAAAATCAATTTTTTTTGTTAGTAATTTTATTGGTAAAAATCATTTCAACAAAAAAAAAAAAAATACATCGGATATCTATCTATCCATACATGACACTACTATAATGTTAGTTTAGTTAATAATAATCAACTATATATAGATTTATAGATTATGACAGGCTTTTCTAAAGTAGCTATCTATCGACAAGATATGCCACCAAAAGGTGGTTATTCTCCAATACCATGGGCACGATTACCATCACGTCGTATACCTTTATGGCCATTTGTTTCTGCATGGTTAGCATCAAATATATTTGGATATTTTTATCATACATCTGAAAAACGTGAATATTGGCGAAGTGGTAAATAAATAATTTCTTCTTTTTTTTTCTCTAATATTTAAATAAATTTCTTTTGTTTTATTGAATATAGAAATGGAAATGGATGAAAGTCGTTCATGTATAGAACCAATTTTATTAGCTGAACAAGATCGTATTGTTTTAAGACAATATCGAGCTAATCGTGATGAAGAAACAAAACTTATGAATGATGTACCTAGTTGGGAAGTTGGTACATGGTTTGGTGAAAAAGTTTTTAAATCACGTACATTTTTTCCTGATCGACCACATATACTTGATTATTATGCACTTGCACGTCCATCAACACAACGTTTAGATGTTAATGCAAGTCAATGGCAAATTTAAGATAAAATAATACAGATTAGTTTTCATTATTGATCCTTCAATTTCTTCTTTTTTTTTTGTATCCTTGTAGAATAAAATCAGATTAAATTTTGTGTTCTTTTTTTTTCAGATTAAATAATTTAGTGGAAAAAAAGAAATATTTATATATTTATTAATTCAAGAATAAAAAAATTTTTCAAACAGGTAAATGATTTTTATTATTTTTTTTTTGTTATTAAAGATAGATCAAAATACGAATTTCAGTTTTAGTTTATTTCAAAAAAAAACAAATGTATGATGCATATCTTTTTTTTATTTGAGTATTGAAAATATAATTTTGAGAAAATATCTTTTTATAGACGTTGTTTTTTTACACTTTAAAAATTAACACTTTAATCATATCTTGAATGTTCTTCACACAAACTATTTTAATAGAGAAAGACAAAACCCTTTTTTTGTGACCTGTAAGATTGCTTATTTTTCTGTACCAAATGACTCGTAGTTGTTTTTTTTTTCTTTTTTTGTTGTTTAGTTATTGAAGAGATTGAAAAATAAATTATTAGAATTATATTTTAACATAGAATAAAATTTGATCGTAAGGTAATATTAAAAAAAAACAAACTAGCAGATGGTACTTATCCCAAGTATTCAAATCGAATATTTAACGATTATAGTTGTTTTTCATTTTTAATCTGATTTTCTATTTGAGTGTAAATCTTTAATTTATATTTACAGAAAAACAAATCAATGAATAAGAATATATTATTATTTTTTTTTATATTCTAGATTATATTTTGTTGAAGTTTTATTTTTATAATTGATTCTTGCGATTTATCTTTTCAGTATGTATACAGAAGAAAAAAAAACAAACATTGTGAATTTCTTTTTTTGTTTTTCTTAATATTTACATTAATAACCGTATATTTTATAATTTGATATTATACTCATGTATCAAATATCTATATTAGGTCATATGAATATTCTGTTTAATAGATATACTAGTAAAATAATAACATCAATATGATAGTGATGAGGTTTTTTTTTGTCTAAAGAAAAAGAGTATATCTATTCAATGTTCTTCTTTTTTGAGTGTAATTGATGCTTTTAGAATGATAACTACTGTAGATATTGTTAGATAATCGAAAGTGAATTTCGTTTAATAGAATCCGAACTCTTTTTGATCATTTTTGCGACTTTTATCTGAACTGGTGAAAATTTTTTTTTGAGTTACTTTAGACTACATCTCAGAAGTAATTTTAAACTTTTTCAAAAATCTGGATTTTATCGAATAAGAGAAATACATAAAGATTCGGATTCAGAAAAAAAGCAATATTCTGAAAAACTCATTACCCTCAAAAATCAATCTTAGGTTAGGTACACATAAGTTGAATAATTCGATAGAAGTACTTTTTTTTAATATGATAATAATAACGCTTAGTTCAATAAACCCACAGTACAGCTACAATGAAATTCTTTCGAGAATTCTGAAGTATGCAATCAGAAGAAAAAGCGCTATGCCAAATAAAAAAAAAGAAACATTTTTGTTTTTTTGTAGAAGATCTAATCTTCAGTTATCATAAAACATTTTTTCTATTTAGAATTATATGTTTTTGTTTCAACAATTCAAATGCCTGGTGCCAGTTTAAATTATGTAATTTTAATCAATGAAATCGAATTTTTTTTTTTCTTATAAAAATATTTTAGCATTCATCTTTATCTGTTGATGAAACAACAGCATATTCTCGACGTATTCATCCATCTCAACAATATTATTATCAATCAATTGAACCATCAAGTTTTTATACGTATCAATCTCAATTATCTATTCAAAATGATCATCAACAAAAATCTTCATTATCAACAACAGATACAAAAAAATGTGAATGTAAAATTTATTTAATTAATTTAATTTTTAAAAAAAATAAAAAAATATAAAAACAAGATATTTTGTTTCCTATTCGATATATAGGGAATGAACTTGAAGTTACTGGTAATGTTCGTAATTTATCACCAATTTTATGGACATTATCACAATTAACTGTTCTATATTTAAATGATAATCAATTAACACGATTACCATCGGAAATTGCTTGTTTAACAAATCTAGTCACACTTGATTTATCAAATAATAAATTAAGAAATTTACCATCAGAAATCGGTATGTTTATAATTTAAATATAAAAACTTATTGAATCATATTTTGATAGTCTCAATTCAATTATATTTCTAGAAAGATTAATATTCGTTTATTTACATTTTATTAGTTTCATTCAGGGGCGGTGCGCGCGGGTACCCCCTACTTTGAGAATTCTTGCTCAGATTTTTTTCGTAATTTAGAGAGATTATTAAACGATTTTCTCCGATTTTGGAAAAATATAATTCGGACAAATTTTAGGCTACTTTCTCCGATTTTTGGGTATTCCCCCTGGTTCCATTCAACGAACAGTTCGATAGATTTCAATTCTTTATTATGAATAATACAATAAACGAACTCATTCTAAATCAGATTACCTAATGTATTTTAATCTAGACTATTTAATGACTAATAGAGATAGTGACAACAAACGTTATTATGTTTTCATTATCCTTAAGCTTCCACATCGATGAAAATTAATTCAGTAATCTACTATCTTCGACTATCGAAATAGTCGCCTTAGGTTATTCTTTTAATTGATAAATGCAAGATTTTATATCATCATATTGAATGATCTAATATTCTCTAAGGACATAACTATAATATATGAATACATATTTTGATTGAAAATGATCATAGAAAATTTCAGTGATTTATAAGAAACTTTACGTACATCAATATTCATTGAACAATTTAATTATAGAATGAATTTATTCATTGTATTAGATGTAAAATTTTTATAGTATAAAATATATTTTCATAATTATCAAAAATTTAATTATTTCATAATTTATTAAATATATTTAGGTGAACTTATATCATTACGTGAATTAAATTTAACAAATAATAGTATTCGAAATTTACCTTATGAATTAGGTAAATTATTTCGTTTACAAAGTTTAGGTAAATTTTGTTAAAAATTTTTATTTTTTTTAATATTCAAAAATTCTATTTTAACTATAGGATTAATGGGAAATCCATTACCAGCTGAAATTTTTACAATTTATACTGAATCTAATGGTTTACAAAAATTATTAACTTATTTTCTTGATAGTTTACCATCATCTCTTAATGGTATAACAACACAAAAAAAAAAATATTTTTTTTTTTTTGTTTCTTCTTTATTTCTTTTCGTAATTCACGATCGTCATGAGTTTCTTTTCTCGTAGAAAATTTTCAGGAAATAGGTACTATTATCATTATATTTTCTTTTTATACAACATCACATCAAACAAAATCTCTACGAGGTGAGTAAGTTTTTTTTTTTTTTTTTTTTTTTTGTTGTGATTTGATAAACTTATGTTATTATAATGTTGTTGTCAAGGAAAACTTGATAATTATACTTATATATATAGTAGCGGAAAAAAAGTTTCACAAGAACATATATTTTCTATAATCATAAGTAATTAGCTTATATACTAGATAGTGATTTTAATAGTCAATAGAGTTTTATATCTAGTGCATTCTATGTTTTTTTTTTGTGATACTTCTTTAGTTTTTAAGAGAATGCGGTGACCCCTCGTTTAAAGAATGTTCTCAAAACCAAAAGAAAAAAGAATATTGTTCGGCATGAAATCTTTTGATCATTTTTGTTTTTTTTTTTTTGTTTCTCATAGGGTGACAATAATAAGGATAATTTATTCTATAGAATAATAATGTTAAGTAGTTATTTAAAGAATCGAACAAAATTTCTTTGTATATATATATATATATATATATGCTTTATTATTTATTGCTATCAAAGCGATATGTTATACTATTTTTGAGTTTAGAGAATTATTTTTGTCTGATGTTATGTGTGTGTGTTTTTTTCTTCTTTCTGAAAATTGTTGCCTAATACACAAAGATGTCGACGAAACAGACGCGTGGGTATGCTCAGTATTATATTCCGACCCCAAAAAAAAAGGAAACAACGAGAAACAGAACAAGCATAAACCAGAAACGGTAAAACTACGACATTAGTTGTTTTTCTTTTTTTTTGTTCCTCGACGTTTTTGAACAGAAAAGAAAAGAAGATTATTTTTCTGCTATTTGTTTCTTTTATTTTTTTGTTGTTGCCTTCGTTATATTGTGAATAATCGAACTTCTATTAATCTAACTCTTGACATATTCATTTCTTTCTTTCTTATAATAATCAATTTATCATATAGAAAACCTTATATTTCTGATAGAATGAAAATATATTTCTTTCTTGCTGCCGACATTCTTATAATCCTCTGATAAATATAATGATGATCACTATGAAAGTTAGTGAAATAATTGACCTTTTATTTTGTTTATAGAATCAGAAGAGTTAAAAACAGATCGATTATTTTCCAGATCATTTATCTATAATATATTTCGTTCTGTTTTTATTTTTTTTTTGTTTTTCTTAGTGTATGTGAGGCATTCAAAAATGTCATTGTAACATGTGTTCACTGACTGAACCACGTCGTGCTATTGTTTCATGTAAACATATATTTTCATCGTATACGAATGAATGTTCAACAACAACAACAACAACAACATCTTCATTTCGATCAACAAAACGAAGATTAAATGACAATATTTCAAATACTAAAGTCTTTCAAATATCATTTGATGTTGAAACAAATTTCTTAGTTAATAATGATAAACTACTCAGGACATCATTAAATCCACTTTCACCTACTTTCTATTCTCATCATCATGAAGAATTAATATCAAGGTAAATAATAATAATAATAATAAATTCTCACTCGTTAATCTATTTCTTTTTATTTTCATGAAATAAAAATAACTTTTTCTTTTTGAATTAGTAATTAAAGAAAAATAATTTTGATATTTTCTTTGAAAATAAAATTTTGTTATAAAAACAAAAAAAAATTCATTTCCAGGGTTTATTAATTATTTTTTTTTGTTCTAGTGACATTAACTATCAATGTAAGACATCTGGTTATGATAGTGGTATTAATAGTAGTAGTAGTAGCAGCAGCAGCAGCATTACAAATCCAGGACAACAATTATCTCCAATTTTAATAAATAATGACAATCAACCATCATTTACATTTTCAATTATTAATAATAATAATAATTCAACATCACAAATTCGTCGTAAATCTTCATCATCATCATCATCATATGAATCTAATCATATAATATTATGTTCATGTGAAAAAGAAAATTTAAATAATCGTAAACGTTATAGACGTTATTTAAAAAAAACATCATATGATAATTATCAAACAAAACGTATTAAAATAAATTATCGTAAAAAAAATTTTAAACAAAATATTAATAATTCATTAATTAAATTTAGTATTGATTTAACTGGACAAAATATTAATTATACAATTGAATATCATCATAATCGTATTATATTACCATTTTATTATGATTTTTATTATATATCATGGCTTCAAATATATTATTATTATTATTATTATTTATATTTTTATTATTTACAATTCTTTGATCGAGAAGAGTGTGAGCTAAAAGAAAGAAACTCATGACGATCTTTTCTTCCCTTTGATTTCTTTTTTTAGTTCAAAAAAAAAAAAAAAAAATCAGAAGATTTTGAAAAAATTTTTTTTTTGTTTTTTTAGCTATTCAACCACCACCAACACGATCATGGCTTCGTCTTTCATCACCAAATACAACACAACCAACAGCTATATTTACAATAATGAATTATAATATACTTTGTGATAAATATGCAACAAGACATGTTTATGGTTATTGTCCATCATGGGCATTAAAATGGGATTATAGACGAAAACAAATTCTTGAAGAATTACGTTCATATTCAGCTGATATTATTGCTCTTCAGGTAAATTAAAGTAAAATTTCTTTTTGTTAGTATATTGAAAGTTGAGATAATAATGAACGTCATGACGTTTTTATTTCGATAGAATATTTAATACAATACGAATTATATCATTCATGTGGATCAAGACAGAATGAATAATGTGTGATTTTCTTTTTTACTCTTGAGATTTAATACAATTCGACAGATGAAATTTAGATAAAGTATGTCGAGAAATAAAAAAAAAAACGAAATAATATTTTTTTTTTCTTGTCAAATTTCAAGATGATTATAAGAAAATAATTTATTTCTTTTTTGTAAATATTTTGATTATAATTCAATCTATTAAAAATGAATATACGTAAATCGAAAAGTGTTTTTTTATTCATAATTATTATTCATTTAAAATTTGACGTAAACATATTTACTAATATACTTGCTATAGAAAGCAAAAAAAAAACAGAAACTTCGATTTGAAAAAGATTGTTTTAATAGTTTTTTCATTTTGATATTAATTACATTTTTATTTATACTGCACTTTTATAAGATACGATTTACGAGAGGTCATGAAGTATATACAATAGAAATTTTTATTTCACCAAGATCATGTCAAGTGGGATCGATAAGCCGCCATCAATACGTGAGAAACTACTTACTATAGGCGTAAAAGATACCTTAGCAACACTCCCACACTACCAATTCACCATAGACGTTATTGATATGCGATCATCGTATTAATACGCCTTCTCCTCCCCCTCGTTTTTTGTTACAGACAGAAATGAGATTGATTCGCAAATTTATAAAATCAAATTGATTCCACCTCTAGTCACAGATCGTGACAGACATTGTTGATATATGATTGTAAACTATATATAAATGACGTCATGTTATAAAATATGAACTAATTTCTAATTGCATGTCTGATGGATTATATATAAAAAAAATATATATATTCCAAAATAGATAGAATAAAACAATCTCTCTCGGATGAGCATGAGTAGCCACTTCATGTTTCATATTTCAATTCCGCAGAGATTGTAATGACAGTTTTGTTTCTCATTATGAAAACAATATTTATTAATAATTCAAACATATTTTTTTTTTTGTAGTTATTAAAAATGTTCTATAGAAAGATAATTTATATTTATAATTAATTTGTATTTTAAAAATTTGAAATTTATTTTTATAGGAAATTGAAACTGATCAATATTATTCATTTTTTTTACCTGAATTACAAAAAAATGGTTATGATGGTGTATTTAGTCCTAAATCACGAGCAAAAACAATGTGTGAACAAGATCGTCGATATGTTGATGGATGTGCTATATTTTATCGACAATCAAAGTATAAAAAAAAAATTTTTTTATTTTTCTCTTTTATTAAATTATTCATTTATATTTAAAAGATTTCGTTTAATCAAAGAATATCTTGTTGAATTTAATCAATTAGCTATGTTAGCTGCAAATGGTACATCATGTCATGATATGATGAATCGTGTTATGACAAAAGATAATATTGGTCTTGTTGCATTTCTTGAAACAAAAGAAGAAATTTATTCTCATACATTTTCAAATGGTAATTTAACTAAAAACAAAAAAAAAAAAAAAGATGAATTACCTCTTTTTTGTTTTTTTAAAGGTGTTTTACCACCAGATCATAAACAAATGTTATTTGTATGTACAGCACATATACATTGGGATCCAGAATATTGTGATGTTAAAGTTGTACAAACATTTATGTTATTATCAGAATTAAAAACAATTATGGAAGATGCTATACAAAAACATCGACCAAATTCAAATTTACCAATCGATTGTACATCAGTACCATTAGTTCTTTGTGGAGATTTTAATTCATTACCTGATTCAGGTAAATATAGAAACAAAAATTGATCTATTATTAATCTTGTTTTTTTTTCTCTTTTGACGAAAAAAATAAAAGGTGTTATTGAATTAATGCGTACAGGAAAAATTTCAATGAATCATGCTGATTTTAAAGATCTTAGTTATGAATCATATTTACAAAAATATTGTCGTATTGATGAAAATTCAACACCAAGTAATGATATTATACATCATTTTAAATTACAATCAGCATATGAAACAACATCAGCACCTATTATGCCTTATACTAATTATACGTAAGTTATTATATAAAAAATATTTCAGACAAAATCAATAAAGTTCGTCAGATGATTAATCCCGAATTTGACAAAAAAAAAAAAATTTGGGTCATTCTGTTGAATTTTTTATTAAAAATAACTGCCAAAACAAATTGACATTTTTTCGAGATAATTAAGAGTACTTGAATATTGAAATAAAATTTTATAGCAAAGATTATTAACTTTTTAAATGAAGAGAGGATCGTTTGCAAATGTTATTAGATATTTGAATATAATTCTATCTTATTTTCTTAAATATACTGATTAATCTTACATATTTCTTAATCAAAATAATAGCTATTCGAATATAAAATTTTAATATATTCAAATAATTGTATATGAACTAGAGATGATGAAACGATCAAAATATTTCGTTGTCTATCATTTATTAATATATGCAAATTTATTTCTTTTATTTGAGAGTTTATTTCTAATCGTGATAACTCTCGTTCGTCATCTTTTTCTTATACTAGAAATCGGATGTATAATTGAACGAATCTATCCTAATTTAGTCTAGTCGAGAATTAATATTCATTTTTGTTTTTCTTTATAAAATTATTTTAGTTCTTTTATTTTATTGATTGAGATATATATTTTTTTATAGGTATGATTTTAAAGGTATTATTGATTATGTTTTTTATTCAACACAATTAATGCGTGTACTCGGTGTATTGGGACCACTTGATCCTGAATGGCTTCAAACAAATAAAATAGTCGGTTGTCCACATCCAAATGTTCCATCGGATCATTTTTCACTTCTTGTTGAATTTGAACTTAATCCAATAAATGAGAATTTAAAAAATTCAACAACATCAATGTCTACAAGACGACAACAATAATAATAATAATAGAAAGAAAAGATGCTCGCAAGAAAAACATTTTTTTTTACGGTGAAATCTCAGGGTTTACAAAGGTTATCTTGATTAATTTTTATTCTTCTATGTCTTTTTTTCTTTTTGTGTATTATGTATGTCTATCCTTCGATTAACATGTGTTTTTTTTCAAATTGTCACAACATGTATAGTTTTCTTTGCATTTTATATTGACTATTATCTTCTGTTTTTTTTTTTTCTTGTCCATCATCTATCATTTTCTTCAAGTGACACAAAAAAAAACAATACAAAAGTTCGTGTTTTTTTTTTCTTTATTGTTGTTTGTTTGTCGATGTTTATTCTTCTTCTTCTTTTTTTTTTTTTATATGTGTCTGTTTCACGGCAATTTAAAAAAAGGTCGTCTAATAAAAATTTAGCAAAAGCAATATCAAATTTTTCAATTCTTTATATTCAATATAAAGTATTTATTATGTATTCAGGATATAGTCATAAAGACGTGACGATCCGCTTCAATAAATCCTTGTTTAAAAAAAAAAACGTCAGCTATTAACAAATAGAAAGGATTATTTATTATATATGCATTCATAACTATAGGCCCATAGGATTCAAAATTTTCCCATCCAGACCTGATTGAATCATACGTTGATATTCTCATTGAAATTTTCTAATTAAAATTGAATAGTTGTCCCAAAGATACGAGATAATTTTTTTTAGCTTTTTTTTTGTATTTCTATGACATATTGCATTTTTTTGGTTCAATATTAATACATAGTAAGATCCGTTGTCATTTATCTCTAATAGATATAAATTTGCAAAATTTATTTCAATCGTCTCATGAAATCAGTTCCATGTTCTATTACTAATATTATAGTCTATAATGTTTCCTAGCAAATAAATCAAATGTGATGATCATATAATCAATGATTATCAACATGTAACACTTTGGTTGTATTAGTGCAAATATCTCTCTGAAAAATCAAGACTCAAAAAAAAAAAGAAAATAACATTTGACAATCAAGTACATATCCTCGAGGTCTTCATGACCTATTTTCAAAAAGTTTGATGTGAACTTCTTGTGTTTTACAAATTTGAAGTTTGTTGAAAATAGTTCATAAAAAAAAAACATTTTTCTTTGGCGCTTAATTAATTCAATTCTTAACAATGCGTATTCCATATTTAAATCTACCATGTATATTAAATGAAACATGTTTTCATGGACAATGTATTCATGTTGATGATTTTCTTATTGGTTGGTATGAATTTTGTTTATGTAATTATTATTATTCAGGTTATGAATGTAATGAACAAACAAAATTAAATCGAATTGATTGGTTTATTATATTAACATGTTTAATTACATGTTTATGTATTATTTTATGTTTTTTATGTATACCATTTTTATATAATTTTTTAAAACATGATTTTTATCCACAAATAATTGAATGTACACGTTCAACACCATATATTGAAATAAATTCACCAATATCAACTATATTTAATGGTATACGTATCTATCGAATACCTTCAGAATATTTATTAAGACGACGAACTATTATTGATAGACTTATACCATTACATTCTATATCATCACTTGCTTATTTAACTCGTATTAGAAATATGAGAAGTCAAAGAAGAAATGAACAGATACATATATGAATAAATGTATATAATTCATATTTTTTAAGAATAATGTAATATTTTTTTTTTCAAAAAAGAATGAAATTTGATGGTTTGTTTTTTTTATTGATAATGAATGGTTTTGCATTAATATTGTTTTTGGTATATAGTGTGACAATGATTCTTTCATGAAGATTTGATAGTTTTTTCTTGTAAAACTATGTAAAAATATTTCGTTCAAAAATACTTACCAAAGATTGAAAAGTGTTTTGGAAATTTACCTAAAATCAATGATTGAATGCATCTATATTTAGCTTTCAAAATTTTTAGGCATTGTTATTTGTAAGTGTAATCTATGTAACATAGACTTTCTAGTGATTTTTTCATTAATAACTGATGTAAAAGTGTTATGAAAGAATATCGAATTGTCTTTGATATTTTTTAGCTATCGTTTCTGTTTCCATAGAATTTTACTCTAAAGTCTACTTGAAAATAAAATATGATGTTCGATTAACTCTGATTGCTGGGAAAAAATCTTATTTTTCAAAATTTTCTATTAATTATGAGCACTCTTCGCCAACAAAAGCCGTTAGAGAAATGTTGATTTCGAAGTCAATCGATAGCTTGAAAACCTCATTTTTATCTTTAAACATGTATTCAAATAGCTATTAATTTGGTCATATATCTTGACTTGCAACATAGATATATACAATACAATTTTATTCTTCTTATGATCAGATAGCTCTAATTGTTACTTCAAATCTTTGAAATACTTTTTCATGGAAATAATAAAGCATATGCAGAAATTGAATGATATTCAAAGACCGCCCATTAGTCAATAATTATTGATCTGTAAAAAGAAATTCTTGAAAAAAAAACTAACTACATTAACAAACGAGGACTGTGAAATTTAATAGATATATCAGTACCAATGTGATATTGATATCATCGAGATAATAGATGGAATTATATTGTATCAAGAGACAGCATAGCTTCATTATCAAAAATCATTTGGCAAAGTGGTTGTTGATATATTATGAACATAGAATTTTTATAATACACGTATATTCTTATTAATTTGATGATTTTTCTCGTTAAAAATATGTCTAGATTCATTTTAGTTGAATCTCTATTATATACAGTAGCTTCCAAAAATTATTCACTTAGGTTTATTTTCAATTTGTTTTTACAGCTGTAACTTCTAATAAGAATCCAAATATTGATTTGGATAGAGAATTATCTTTTTGAAGATGAAAATGATTGATAATTTTTCAACAATAGGATCTCTGGAAAACCAAAAGCTTTTGATCGCGATACATCAATCTTGTACAAACCATACAAAATGATGTTTTCATATTAACTAATAGAAAAATGAATTTTATGTCTACCTTAAAAATTATTAAATACTAATCATCAATATGAATAATTGAAATTAACAAGAAAACAAAGAATTTTTATCAAAACAACAAACAAACAAATACTATTTGATAAAATATTTTATTTTTAATGAGTGACTTATTACAATTAGACTTTTATACGAAATTTTTTTGCAGTTCAAAACATCAAAGATCAAATTCACAAATAAACGCTTTTCTTTATTATTGATTCAATAATTATTACAGAATTATTGATCTCTATAGTATATAAATTTCTAAAATATTAATATCATTAATCTATTTTTTTATTTAAGAAAATAATCGAAGGTGTTATGAGTTTAGAAATAATAATAACAACAATGATCATTTCTCTCACTTTTCCTTCTCATTTGGTGAGAATACTCACACATAACCATGCGAATTTGTTTACTGACAACAATGTGTGAATTGGCTGATTCCACCAGCAGGTAAACAATATCGAAAAGAAAACGATGCACATTTACAGGATATGGAAAAAAACAATTTATTAGTTTAACACATGAAAAAAAGTCAATAGAAACAAAAGAAAAGAAAAAGAAGTTTTATTTTCTATTATATAATTCAATTCATTATTGATGATTATCAAGTACTTGACGACGCCATTTAATACGACGATTTTGAAACCAAATCTTAATAAGACAAAAAAAAACAAATAACTTTTAATTGATAGCAAAAATTTCTCAACAGAAAAAAAAAAAGACAACATTACTTTAACTTGTGCTTCACTTAAATTAAGTAGTTTTGCTAAATATAAACGTTCATTACCAACCATATATTGTTGTTTTTGAAATTCAATTTCAAGTCGTTCAAGTTGTTCTGTTGTAAATATTGTACGAATACGTTTTGATTTTATTTTTAAATTTAAATTTTCAATTATTGATTGTTCAGATTCATATGATGATGATAATAATCTTAAATTTTCATTTGTTTTAAGTTGATTAATAAGATCATAAGATGATATAGGTGAATTACAAAATGAAGATGATGATTCTAACTGTACATGACCATCATCACTTGAACCATCTTCAGTATCATCAATATAACTTGAATTTATAGGTGTTGGTTTTAAAAGTGAATCAATATCAAATGAACATTTTTTTGTTGATCGTTTAATATTCGTATGACATCTAAACTAGAAATGATCCGTAATTGATGAAATTTTACATAGATATATACCTTTTTTGTTGTTGTGATTGAACAATTTTTTCATTTGAAGATGTTGGTTGATCAAACATTGTTGTCAGTTTGAAGATGGAAAAATGACAAATTGTCAATCATTAAATATGGATAGATTTTTTTTTCTTTTCTTTTATTTTTTTCGTAACGATGATGAATATCATTCGTTGTGAATAATTGGTTAGATTTTGTAAAGATGAACAAAACTAACCAATGATTAAGCAATCCGGAAACGAGAGAAAAAAAAAAGAAATTCAATTAAGATATGATCATGTTTAAAATAAATTATGTAGTTTATATACTGAATTTCTCCTGCGTCTCAAATAAAAACAAACATCGTCTAAATTCAATAGATGAATTAGTTCGAAAAATCTGTAGATTGGAATAAAACATTTAATTTTCCTTGCAATTTTATAATTTGAATTATTTTACATTGAAAGTTTGAAGTTATTCTCGACAAGATGATCTAATAATAATGTTTCAACTTAGATCAAATATTGACTTTTCAGGTATCTGCTATTTGATTCAAAGCAAGGTTTCTGTTGATTAATTCGATTATGATCAATCATATAATACAAGACAATTATATTGTGCTATGGTGTCAATAATCTTTCGATCGTTTTAACTTTTCTTATGCGGCAGATTATTACAAGTTATTATCCTTAACACTTTGATTAAAGGAAATAAATTTTAGATCGAGAAATTTATCTTGTTCAAAATAGTGACAAATAAAAAGATAAAATAACCTAATGAAATTAGTATTGACGAATTTCATTAATACGAATAATAGTAATAAAAACAATCAGCTAGTGATCAGAAAGTGTTCATATTCTTTTTTCATATTTCAGGTGCATATGTATCTGAAGAGAAGTGAATTCTTGCGATCAGAGTTTATTTTCGTGCATATATGCAACGAGAATATTATAAAGAATAGTAACTATTTATGTGGACAAGAATAAAACCTGATTTCAAATCATAGATATGTCATCTGACATGAAAATTTTTTTTTATAAGAAAAATATTTAATAATTTATTTTGAATTTTGAAACGATTTGAATTACCTTTAGATGCTAATTTATATGTTTTTATATTATAATACGACTTTGGTCATTGTTGAATAAATTTTTTTTCTTACCTACAAATTCATGTAGAACTTTGAAACAAACTGAGATAGTACTTATTAATAAATCATAGCAGAAGAATAAAACATAATATTTTTCTAAAAATGATTACATTATCTAATTGGACAAGTTAAATACATGCTGTACTCACAGAATATTAACTTCGATGAAAATATATGGTTAATAAATAATCTTTTTCTTAATTTATTTGTATCACACAATGAGTGATTAGAAAAAGAAATCAGAATATCAATCAAACAATCATCTCGATAAGTTTATGAAAAAAAAAATCTAGTCGAATTTTGTATAGATCAAAGATCACATCAATTGTTGATTTTTCAAAAAAAAAAAAAAAGAGTTACGCGTACACAAACATTTCACTATGATTCATTAGAGAGAATCGTTGAATTTCGATAAGCATCTAATCCCTTTTTAAGTCTTTTTAATATTTCCTCGATCCATTTTTCTTTAACAGAAAATATTATACGAAACCATCCTGGTTGTACACAACCAAGAAAACATCCTGATAGCAAATAAACACCATGTTCAAATATAATTTGAAATAAACGAACTTCTTCTTCAAATGTAACTTCATATAATAATGAACGAAAATCAGCCCATATAAAAAATCCTGCTTTAGCTGGTCGAATATAAATACGATTATCAATATCTTCGATTGTCTTTTTTACTTTTGCATATTGTTGAGTTAAACGAGAACGATTTAATTTTATATATGAATCAATCCATTCTTGATCAGATAGAAATGTAGCTGTTATTTCTTGAATTATAACTGATGGTACTTGAATAAAATTAGCTGCTGCACCTGCTGAACACAATTCATTTGAACCAGCATAAAGAACACCTATACGTAAACCACTTAATGCAAAATCTTTACTTAATGACCAAACAAAATGTGTACGTTTTGGATCAATGATTGATGTATAGTTTAACATTGATTGAAATGGTTTTTCATTTTCAAATATACTGAATGCATAAATTTCATCTATAATAACATGTAAATTTTTTTCAGCTGCAAA